CAGTGGTCTGAGCCTGTTGATCCCTTCCACTGCTCTGCTGAAGGATCTCGGCACAGGTTTCCTTGAGTCACCTGATCCATAAACATCCCCAGCATCACCCTCCCTGGGCTGGTGAACTCCTGCAGGAGAAGGGAGCAGGGGCACTGCCAGGGCCAATGTGGGAGGGATGCTTTGCCATAGAGCACATTGGAGCATGGCTTTCCTCCTCCCTGCCTGCCCACACGGCTCCAGGCAGTGCAGCTGGGCTCAGTGCTGTTCCCCAGCTCTATTCCCCATGGAATGACCCTCACTGCCTGGGCCCCAGGGAATGAACTCCATCTCCTTTGGCTTCTCAGATGAGTTTCATGGTGTTTTGAGGGATCTCCTGCCTGCAAAGAGTGTGACACCCAGCATGGGGTCACAGTGATTTCCCAAATTCCTGCAGGGCTTGTGCCTTTCGATGGCAGGTGTGGGATTGTTATTAAGAGGAATGTTGGATTTGTCTCTACAAACAAGATGTTGGTCCTTTGGTAGATAAAACTAACACTGAGAGATAAACGAAACAATTGGAAGGATTCCACTGATTTATGAATAGACAAAAGATATTTTCCCTTACAAAATGTAGGTTTGCTAATAATCGAAATTGGATATTGAAAAATGAAAGAAACCATGGGGGAAAACCATAAATTCTATAAGAATTCAGAATTAAAAGGTAGGGTTATACATCAGATGGGAATCTTAGGTATGAGGGAAGTCTGATTAGTTTCAGATTTTGTGATTAGTCTGATATTAGGTTCCAGGAATTCTGTACCTCTCAAGTACCTCAGCCAACGGGGAAAGAGAGAGGGAAATGTGGCCAGGAAATTAGGATAAAATGGGAGACTGTGTCCTCCAAATATTTGAGAGACCCCAGGGGAATGCCCCATGACCTCTCCCTTTCTTTGAGTAAAGTAAAAGGACTCTGTCTCCTTTTTGGACATAAACCTCTGGTGTTTGTGGATTAATTTTCCTGACCAACTGGGAGCTCTTGTCCGGGATCTTTCCACCATCCGGGGCAGTGGGCAGCGAGTGGAGCTGAAGGTGCCTCACCCAGTTTGGGTGATCAGCTCCCCTTGGTGCCGGCCGGTACCGGGTGATCCATTGGGTTCCCGAGACTGTCCAGGAGACAGACGAGTGGCCGACCAGGGGGGTCTGGGAAGAGTCTGCAGGGAAGGACTGAAAATCTCACCGGTGAGTAAAATGGGATCTTCGGGGAGCAAACCTGGGAGGGCACCCATGGAGGATAGCACAGGTACACCTGGGAGGACACCCATGGAGGATAGCACAGGTACACCTGGGAGGGCTCCCATGGAGGTTAGCACAGGTAAAACAATGCACACATGGAAGATAGCACAGGTAAAACAAGGCTCCCATGGAGGTTAGCACAGGTAAAACAGTGCACACATGGAGGGTTGCAAGGGTAAAACCGGGAAGGGGCCCTGGCAAAAGGGATGACAGTGCCATAATACCCCTGGAGAATCTCTTGGGGGGAATGCTGAGGTCTTGGGACAGATTATGCATTCACCCAGAGTTAGCTATGGAGATGATGGTAAAATATTGTTATTTTATGTGGCCAGTGTAGAAGTTGCCAAAGAGGCTTATATGGCCACCTTATGGAACGGATAAAATTTGTTTGTGTCAAATTTTGTGGAGGTATTTAGAGGAGAATTGGAAATGGATTGTTAGAGGTTTCAGTGGCTCCCATTATATCAAACACCCACCACTCTCGAGCCCATGATAACTTTTAAGGTGGGTCGGGATCAAGAGGAGGTGTGTTTTCTGGCAGACACAGGGGCCTCTCGATCCACCTTAAATTTTATACCTAAGGGGGGAAATTGTCAAAAAGATCCTCGGTTATTCAAGGAGTGAGTGGAAAGGATGAGCGAGTGCATTTTATTCAGCCGCAGTTAATAGATGTGGGGGACAGGTCTGAAATTCATGAATTCCTGTTTGTTCCTAATTGTGATTATAATTTACTGGGAAGGGATTTGATGGCTAAAGTGGAAATGCAAATTAGTATCGTAAAAAAAAATGGCACAGAGTCCAACACTGTGATATCTTTGTGTAGAGTGTCTGAGAAGGCTTATGGTGAAATAAATCCAGAAGTGTGGGCAGCCCCAGGGAAATATGGAAAACCAGACATAGAACCTCTTCAAATTACTTTGAAGCAACCAGGATAAATGGTGTCTAAAAAGCAATACCCTCTTTCAAGGGAGGGAAAGAAGGGGTTGCAGCCTGTCATTGAGTCCCTGCTAAAGGCAGGTCTTTTGGAGCCATCTATGTCTCCCTATAAAGCTCCTATCCTTCCAGTTAGGAAACCAGATGGAACCTACAGAATGGTGCAGGATTTAAGAATAATACATGAAATTGTCAAACCAAGGCATCCCAGCATTCCAGATCCCTATGCAGTCCTGAATCAGATCCCTTCTCTACATCAGTATTATTCTGTACTGGTTTTGAAGGATGCTTTCTGGGGGAATCCAATTACAGAAGCTAGTAAACAGTATTTTGCCTTTGAGTGGGAGCAGGAGGAAGGAGGGAAAACGATAAAACAACAATTGACATGGGCAGTCCTCCTGCAGGGATATACAGAGTCACCAGTTTTGTTTGGGCAAGCTTTGCAGAAAACATTAATAAAGTTTACTCCACCCTCAGGAGTTAAGCTGTTGCAGTATGTAAATGATTTGCTCTTATCAGGGGAACAGGAAATGGTGGTTGAAGAGGCTGCTGTAAAGCTGCTTAATTTTCTTGCAAAAAAAAGGACTTGGTGTGTCTGAAAAGAAGGTGTAGTTGATAGAAAAAAAGATCAAATATTTGGGACACATTCTGACTGGAGGGTTGGGGTGTATTGATCCAGAAAGAATACAAGGGATTTTACAGGTTTACCATTACCCCAGACATAAAAGGAGTTACGGGCAGGTTTTAGGTTTGGTGGGGTACTGCAGAGTATGGATTAAGGATTTTTCTGTTGTAGCCAGACTTTTATATGACTTTTTAACCCAAGACAATCCTAATGTGGTATGGACACCGGAAGGAGAACAAAGCTTTGGAAAATTAAAAGACAAATTCGTTAATGCCCCAGTCTTAGCTCTTCCTGGCTCAGAAAATGAATTTGAACTATAGGTGGATGTTAAACAGGATCATGCTAAAGGAATTTTGGTGCAAGAGCATGGGGGAACACGGAGGCCTGTTGCCTGTTTTTCTAAGCTGTTAGAGCCGGTGGCCAGAGGCGGCCCCATTGTCTGCAGAACTGTGCAGCCACAGCTCTGATGGTGGCTGAGGCCCGAAAGCTGACAAGGGGAGGGCATCTCATTGTTCAAGTCCCACATCAGATTAAAGCTTTGCTAACTGAGAGAACATCTAACTGAGAGATCATCTGGATGACCAGGGCTCGCTTATTACAGTATGAATCTTGTTTAATGGAACAGAAGGATTTAGAATTTAAAAGTGGGGAAGGGTTTAACCGAGCCTCCTGTTTGAATGGCCCTGAAGAAAGGGGAGGCCAGGAAAAAACCCATGGCTTTATCCAGGTTATAGACCTCCAGACGTGGACTAGGAAAGATTTACGAGATAATTCCTGGCCTGAGGGAGTCAATGTGTTCATTGATGGATCTTCAAGGGTGGTAGAAGTGAAACTGTTTACAGGATACTCTGTTGTGAATGGGAAACAATTAAAGGAAGTGGGGAGGCTCCTCCCTGCCTGGTTAGCTCAGATGGCAGAGCTATATGCACTTGTGAGAGCCTGTGAATTATACCGGGACAAAACAGTGAATGTTTTTTCTGATTCTAACTATGCAGATGGGGTGATACATGCATTTGGGAAACTATGGGAAGAAAGAGGTTTATTAACCTGCAGAGGAAAGACATTAGCTCTCGCCTATTGGAGGTGGTGAATTTACCATAAAGGGTGGCAATAATCCACATTAAGGGGCATCAGGCAGGATGCTTGGAGGAGAAGCTCGAACAGCTGCATTGTTGCCAGAAATCTCTAAGATCCTCCCTTTGCTCTCAGTAACTGCACCGCTGCCAGAGAAACTCTCTTTTCCACCAGAGGAACTTGAGATAATTTAGAAGAGTGGGGCAGAGGAAAGAGGGGATAATTGGTTTACAAGGGATGGTAAGCAGAGGATACCAAAAGCTCTGGTCTTACAATTGTTAAAACAACTCCATGAAGGGAGGCATTGGGGCTCCTGAGGACTGGCAGCAGCCTTCCTCAAAATATATGCTGCTGTGGGTCTTTTTACTCTGGCAAAACAAGCTATTGAGGGTTGTTTGATTTGTGCTAAAACCAATAACAGAGTTACAAAGAAACTTGCCAGGGGAGGGAGGCGTTGGGCAGTACGTCCCTTCCAGAGATGCCAGGTGAATTTTATTGAAATGCCCCAAGTGGCAAGATTTAAATATCTTCTGGTAATAGTATGTCAATTAACCGGGTGGCCAGAAGCATTTCCAACTGTTTCAGCAACTAGAGGATCAGTTATTAAAGTATTTTTGGAACAAATAATTCAAAGATATGGGATTGAGGAAGCAATAGACTCAGATAGGAGAACTCATTTTACAGGAAAAATTCTTCAAGGAGTTATGACTGCTTTAGGGATACAGTGGAACCTCCATACCCCTGGCACCCACAGAGTTCGGGTCAGGTTGAGAGGATGAACGGAGAAATAAAGAAAAACCTCCTGAAGCTGGTGATAGAAACTAAGATGCCGTGGGTACGGCTCCTGCCCCTGGCTTTAGCAAGAATAAGGGCCAGACCCAGGGGAGATATTCAATTATCTCCCTTTGAATTGATGTTTGGAATTCCTTACCCTTGTAATTCTCAGCCGAGTGCGGGGATAGAGATAAGTGATGTGTATTTAAAACAATATGTGGCTCGGATACTGTCTCTTGTGAAATCTCTTCCACAGGAAGCTCAGCTGGCACAGACCCTGCCTTTGGACTTTGCTGTTCACAACATCCAACCGGGACACTGGGTCCTGGTTAAGGAGTGGGAAGAAGCACCACTGGTGGCCAAGTGGCGTGGACCTTTCCAGGTGTTGCTGAGCACAGACACAGCCGTCAAGACAGCTGAACACGGCTGGACCCATCACACTCGGGCCAAGGTCTCTGCAGCCCCAGAGATTTGGACATCTCAGCTGGAGGAGAAGGACGGGAAGCCGCGACTGACACTCGGCAGGAGGGGACTGGAGCAGCAGCCAGGGCGTCGACATCGGGGGAAGCCTCGTGTGCCCACCCACAGAGTGCCTGCTGAAATAGTCTGTGTGGGCATCCCTCCTCTCAGATCTCCAGTCACTGGGGGCCAACCCTTGCTGTCATTGTTTTCTTTTTGTTAAGCTGTTTCTGTGCCTTCACTCGCCACAGGTGGTGCAGAAGAAAATATGAAAGCGAAAATTAGGGTAGGAAATTAGATGACATCATTAGAATGTTTCTCTTAATAAAATTACCTTTATATTGTCAGTTATGGAAATCTCAGGTATCAGGTGTTCCGGGAAGTCTGAACCTCTCAAGTACCTCACCCAATGGGGAAAGAGAGAGGGAAATGTGGCTGGGAAATCAGGATAAAAAGGAGGCTGAATCCGCCAAAAATTTGAGAGACCCCAGGGGAATGCCCCATGGCCTCTCCATTTATTCGAATAAAGTAAAAGGACTCCTCTGTCTCCTTTTTGGACATACACCTCTGGTGTTTGTCGACTAATTTTCCTGACATACCCAATATAACCATACATAGATGTAAAAATGTTTTTATCTAACACATAAACCTCATTTTCCTAGAATTTATTTTCATGTGCCAGCCTCCTACTGGAAGTACTTTTATGATCCTGGAGGTTAATTCAGAGGGGTCTCTGGTGGTCGTATTCACGGAATACTGCAATATTAAAGGTGACCTTGCCTTCAACTTTTATTTTGGCCATGTGCTCTTGCTTCTTACAGAATTTACCCCAAAACCCCTGGAGGCCTCCTTATGTGCTTCTGCACTGGCTCCAGCCACATTTATCATCCTGTGAGCACAGGGGAGCTGGGCTTTCCTCCTCCATCCTGGCTGCCAGAAGCCTCTGGCCAGGAGGAGCAGAGACACTGCCGGGGTCCCAGGTGGAGCAGGGAGCAGTGGGGCTGTCAGGGGAAAACAAGCAGCCCTGGG